TTTGTCAATTAGCCAGCCCCTTCCTGTGTTGACATACAGCAAGTTGAAAGACAGAGCAGTTCCTGTGATGAATTAAGAGAGACAGATGAGTGAGGAATGAACGGTGGAGTAATACTATAATGTTCTTTAGATATGAATATAAAACGACACAGCTGACAGGCCATACAAGGTTTTATTTCATTTCTCAGTGTATGAAGCCTCCCTACTTTGTCTCCTTTGTTCTCTTTCCATCAGACTACCTACATCTCATTCTGACAGCCGGGCGACATTTAGAGCACTTTCGCTTTAAAATGCGAGTTAGCATACTTGATTTGTCATTAAAATGCAAAACGCCTGCCATCGCCAACATAGCCTGGGTGAGCACATACCCCATCAGACAAGGCACACACATACTGTACATACATAGGTAGCCGAAGCTAAGGTTTATTTGTAATATAAAAGTCCAATCTGGCCCCCTCTTAATGGCAGGGTAAATTACAATTTTAGAGTATAATGTCAGGGGTACATCTGTTACACATAATTCAATATGAAAGAGTAAATGTCAGTTTTTCACTGGTCTTCAATCATATAGTATAAGACATGACCCCACTAACAGTGCAGACCTTAAGTATTTGGACAGTGTATATTTTATGTTTGGGCCTTGTGATTCAGCATACACGTTAAACGGACCATATCTCCCACACAACAATTTCTATAATGTAATATTCATTATGTTGGAATACTTAGAGTCTGGACTATCCACTTATTAAGTGTGGCGTATCGTTTTGATTCCAGGTCCAAACTCCCCCAGACCCAAATGGTGCAGCCTGTCACCTTCTACACAATAACATCTTTTTTAGTGAGGCATCAGAGAAAAAAAAAAAAAAAAAAATTTTTGGAAATCTTTGCGACTCACATACAGTACTCAGTGTAGCTGATCTACCCGGTGGCATCATAACTCTGCTCTCTTACACGTCGTAGTACATTTATTCCATACTGTGTGTATGTATCATATTCTATGTCTAACTTGTTTTTAATGGATCCTACCATTTACCATTACTTTAATCATTTATTTAAAATTCATCCAACTAACCAGCAACATTATGAGGCAGCCGTGCACCTTCAGAAGTTTTATTTTTATCAAGTATTAGCATAAGAATACGGTGACTTGTCTAATCAATTGTGGCCATTTCTTTTTCTACTTCTCATCACAAAGAAAGCGATGAAATGACAGCTGATCTGTGATTTTTTCCTTCAGGTCTATTGAAACAACGGGAAACACAACACTGTGGCATGCTGAATTGAGAAGAATGAACCAAAGTTTGGACCTGAAAACAGAATGTATCACTACTTAACAAGCTGATAGTTTAACAAGTGAAACTTAAAGACAGCAGCTCTCAGGTTTTTGTCCCTAGGACTTTAGTAACTTGTGATTTTCCTCTGAATGCATCAGTAGTTACCTGAAGAGACCGCGGTAACACAACAGAACCCCGCTAATTAGAAACTGTGCTATCAACAACACCTGTTCAATCATGTATAAGATTTGACAAAGTACTACTGTACAAAAATCATTTATAGTCAAATAACTAATCAGTTGATTCCTCCTCATTTTAGATTTGCATGTGAGTGAGCACACAGTGACTACACAGTACAGGTCTTATGGCCACAATACAATACACAGCCACATCATCTGAATCACAAACTCGCTGATTCAATCACAATAAAAACTGAAAAAACGACAAAAGGTGGGGATTATTAGTTGTAATGAAATACTTTGTACAGGTGTTTCTCCTGTGTTGCACATTTTAAGCAACTTGCATTGATAAAGATCTGCTATACAGTAGATGGCATTTCTGTAACATTAAACATGGCCAGGAAAAATGCAGATCATTTGGAATAATCAGCTACTTACGAACTATGATACAGCCAAAATTTCACAATTTTGAATGCGAGTAACAAACACACAACTCTAACCGGGTAAAACTGATCTAAGTAAAATAGCGCAACTTCCAGGTTAGGTTTAAGGTTTCACAACAGCTGTCAATGCACAAATGTGACTGGTCTATCAAGACGCCATATTAGATGTCCAAAGAAAGGTATCACTATTGAGACTATGTTGGGATTCTCCCTGTGACTCACAGGCATGTCTCCCCTCAAACCTCATGCGTCCAGGGCAACGGCACTGCATGTAACAGATGTAGGCACCTGAAATGCGCAAAAGTCAGAGGGGAATCATGTCAACACAGCACATGCCCACTCACTGCACTGTGTACACACCTGACCTGGAACAAAGTGGACGACAATACCACCCGAGCCCGTCCCGAGACAGAAATCTCACTGTAAGCCACACTTCTCAACACATTGATGAGACAGTCTGACACTGCAGCACACAGAGGGAGAGGTGTGGGTGTGACAGCCCGCTACCATAATTTCATCCTGCCATTACCTGCCCAGCCACTCACAGTTATACTCACAGAGACAGATGCACAAACACCGCATGCAAGCAAACATCCACACAACCATAAACATATGCGCAACGCACACGAAAAACACACAGGACTCAGTTAAAGGTGGTGCCAGTACCTCGCTTCTCATTGTGACTCATTGTCAGTTTGCTGGATGAGTGTTGTCAACTGAGCTGACAGAAATAAACATATTAGCAACAACAATCTCTGGCAATGTCTCTCTCTCAATTTGAGTCAAGCAGCATGAAGAAGTGCACGATGCTGAAGGCAGTCCAGTAAGTTTCACTAACATGCGTCTGTTTACACCTGGTTTGTTTAAGCTGGCACTGAAACGAGGTCATGGTGTCCATACACAATTGTCTCTACTATATGACATGTATTGTAAAATGCCCAACAAAATTTCCATTCATATATTCCTCAATATTGGATATAGGGGATATACATAAAACGGAGATATAATATTTAACATAATCTGGGATTTTGGATATTGTTTTATTGCAACATTACTTTAATACTGTCTTTGTCCTGGTATTAAAGGCTGTCTTACACTTAGTTAGAGAAGCATGGTACATCATTTAGCTCATCAGTTGTGGAAAAATACAGTATATTGCCAGTAAAATACTGCATCAGAATAACTTAAGTATCAAATATATTTGATATGTGGATGAATCATTTCTTTACTACAAGGGCAAAAGGGTGCCTTTACATTTATTTTAGCCAGTGACACAAAAACTAATCATATTTTCTTAAGTTGTACAATCTAAAAGTATAAGTACCACGTACAGAAGAAAGAGTTCAGGGGCAGAAATACTGTGTTCAAAAAGAAAAATCTTCCCACCTTTTAACTGAGTGTCTATTAGCTGCATTCTTATGGGGATCAAAACTACTGGGGGTGTTGCTATGCCTTGGTTAGTATATAACATTATCACATGTTGAGCTGCTTATTAAATTTCACAGCTCCCCCCCACACACGACCTTTATATCTCATCATGTAATCACCTACAGAAGGCAATAGCAACAAAGAAGGAGTTTAAGAGAGAATGGTAAATACATAAGCCTGGAGTGTGTGTGTGTGTGTGTGTGTGAGATGTAACAGCTTGACTACATGGCAGGTCAGTAATGTATACTTAATAGCTATGGAAACAGCTTATATTGGGAGCTGTCAGAAAGACTCACTGAATACATTTAACAAACGTCTGTGTATGCATCTTCACAACACAACATGTAGAAGGTTTAAAAAGTCAGCAGGAGATGTACGTAAGAAATGTTTACAATAACTCTCTCTGCACATCTTTGATGTAGGCAGGCTTTCACCTTCTAGACACGCCGTCTATAGGAGAAAAGGATTAAGCACTATGTAACAGATCGCTCTGCCCACTAGTGAACCATCAATCAATATGAGCCCCAAAGGGTTCGTGTACCACTTGATTACTACCACTTCTCTGCCCATGCCATCCTTTGAAGTTCAGTAATGATATCTGACATCTGAGATTAGCTGAATTGAAAATTAATAATGAATTAGTAATATCTAAGCCATAAATATTTGATTCTAAACATCAAGTCCTTAATGTGACTGGTTCAAGGGCAAGAAATGTGCACCTTGATCCCGCTAAGACCAACACATAAGGGTTTTTTCAGTTGGATAAAAAAAAAAAAAAATCTACTATGCAAGTAGGTTGTACCATGGACACAGGAGTTATAATATAATGGACAACAATAATGACCAGTTAAAGCACCGATTCAGATTTACATCTTTTTCTAAAGCCAGATTAAGACAACTACTCACAGTCCACCAGATACTGCAAGTGAACGGTGAAATCATCTTTCCTATTGTTACCACATGGTAAAGGTGCGCTCCATACCACAAAAAACCATAAATACATCAATACAGTAAATATTAGGTCAGTAGGTCATGTACTGTAAACGCCCTGGGAATATATGTAACATGTTTCATTTTCACAGTTAAATGCACTCACACCTGCCTTAAGTTAAATTCATGGATGTATCCATTAACTCCAACAGAGTTTTCCGACCGCTCTGTGTGTATATGAAAGGTTTAGAAATATTACACAGTGTAAATCAGTTTAATTGAGGACTTCACATCTCCAGCACAGACAACTGCCTCCAGACAATAATCTGGAACAAAAAAAAAGCAGCCTCTGTTGAGACAGCTTCATGGAAAAGAGCTCAGAAACAAAAGCATCATCCCCTTTCTTTAAACTTGCCATATCAACTATGCTAGTCCTGCTGCTGAAATGGCAGCCCCCTCTGAAGCAGCTGCCACGAGGTGCTCCTTCATGTCCTGAAAGAGGAGCGTTTTCTTCTATTTGCCCCCTGAATTAGCATGTCACATTTATCGATCACGCCTTTTATCCTGCCCCAGCGTGGCACCAGCCCAACTCTAACACTCATTCAGCTCTTTGATATTGTGATCACACTATGACCACCTACCGACTGAGGGCACACGTTCAATTGCACCTGATATAAAGATGCATGCCTCCCGGTAACAAAGTGAGAGAGAGACTGACAGCATACAGCATGCATCCAGGTGCCTACCTGAGCTGATTGAAGCTCAGATCCAACCTTCTTGCAATTTGGCCATATGTGTCTCCAAGGAAGTCTGGAATGTCCTTACAGTCATGTCCGATGTAGGAAACCTTTGAGTTAGAGGGAGAGAGAGAAACTTGTTTCAGAATATCTCACCTTTAAAACAATGTTGATGGATCATCATTTGAATTATTCTGAATGACAATGGATGCTATGTAATTTATTAGTTAACCATACAGTAAGAACTTTAACTGTCATACTATTCATTTAGCAAGAGCAAAATAAATCCTTTTGACTTCCTGACGTCATTAAGCATACTGCATGTTGCATTTTCAACATAGATTACTACCCTGCACTATTACTACCATTGTTATTATTTGTGACTTTCTATTGCTTTAAATTGGCGGCATTATTCTCGCCATTCAGTCTGGAGGAGGAACTGCATCAGTGAAAGTCAAGCCTGTAACGCACAAGCTACAGTTTGTCATATGACACCAGTGACTTCGAGTAAATAAACAAAAGCCGCACACATTTAGCAACCGGAAGACTCTTGGTGATAAAAGTATGGATAGTTCAAATCCGATAGAAACGCTTTCTAAAACAAACTTACTTGAGTCCCATTTATAGCGACCGACTCGCTGTGTGTCATAACTTTGGATGACAGCGCACTCATTGTTTGTTTGTTTGTTTCCTTTTAGATAAGCAATCTGAGCTTGTATCAAAAATGTTGCCCACGCAAGACTCCAGCTGTTGTCAACATGAAACGGTAATGTTTGGGGATCTACCACAGATTTCCAACTGACTTTGTTTCCGTGTGCCTTTCTCGATCAGCTGACCGCTTTGCGGAAGCGCACAGTCAAAGTGTGTGCTACTAATAAAGTCCCTGTGCTGTTGGTGGTGTTTGGAGGACAGTGTGAGATTCCTCCCCTATGTGTGATAGTCTACTACTTGGCATCCGTTTGAGCAAAACTTATTTGTTTAAATAAAGTGGATGACATATCAGATAAGACCATCAGCATCTGTTTTCAATAAATACACCAGGTGGACAGGAAGAGTCATGACAGAAGTAGCTTGCTGATATATCAAAGAGAGAGTCAGTTGTACTTAATGTAAATGCTTCATTTGACTACGTGGGCTTAAGTAACCTAGCTATTAATCCAGGGTGTTTAAATTCTGCAATTTATTGGAGGTTTACCTAAGACAGGAGTAGCCAATCCTGCTCCTGGAGGACCTCTGCCCTACTTGTTTTCCTACTGCCCCTGCCATACCTGGGTCAGGTGTGTTCAATCAGTCAGAAGCTGGAACATACCATCTTAGATAAAGAAAAAGTGAATTGGTATCTTCCAGCTTCTGACTGACTGAACACACCTGATCAAGGTAATCAGCAGTAGGTAGGGCAGGGATAGTTAAACAAGCAGGGCAGTGGCCCTGAGAGACCACGACTGACCACCATCTTAAACCAAATAAGAACATGTGTTATATACACACTGTATTGCATATAGTGTGTCTCTACAAAACACTAGCTGGGTATGTGGCTTACAGACAGGCTGGTTTAACTTTTGAGCTAAACTGATTGGTGTCTTAAACTACCCGTGTATTTGTGGCAGTGCTAAAGGTGTTAATACTACTTTGAGGTACGACGGCATGGTACAGATTTGAACCCTTTCAGTGCAGAGCACGTGATTGGTGATTAACCCTCCATCCCGTCTTTTTCCGTGTATATTTAACAGCAAGTTAAAGTTGATAACTCATCTGTCAGCCCCCAGTCATAAACGGGTTTGTTGTGTACACTCAAAACGTACTGTTTGGAAATAGATCTACTTACAACAGATCATCAACCTCCGTTTTGTGTGGCTTGACTATGGTAGACCTTTTGTTAATATCATGACATTAATGGGCTCAGTACTGCCCCCTGTGGCCAATAAAATAACGCCTAAATTAGAGCTGTTTAAAGGGTCAGTTCACTCAAATTACAAAAACTAGCCCATTTCTTGGTCATACCTGGTAGTATAGCGTACATTTAATTTGTTAGATATTGTGTTACAAACTATGTCAACAAATTGTTGTAATTATTTTGATGTTCTTGCTGTAGAATGGTTCTTGGGTCTGTGGGCAGTTGATGAAGATGCCATCTCTGCTGCAGTGTACAGTGAGTTTAGAGAGTGCACAGTTTCCAGTAGACAGAAGCACTTTTAGAATATAATAAAGTGTTGTATTAGTTCAAATATAAATAATAAACCTTTTGCCAGTTTTCTACACAATCACTTAGTGCCAAAGATGTTTATTCCAGTATTCACAAGGAATATTCCCATTAATCTACCTATCATGTTACTGGATTGTAATTATGATGCATTATACATGACGTATTGTTGCAGCTGGTAAAAGTGGAGTCATTTTAACTTATATGCTTATAATTTGAAGTACTACTGTGAATTTACGTTTTGTTTTATAAATCTGATTCAGAAAAGTAACTAAAGTTATTAAACAAATGTAACAGAATAAAAAGTAGGCTACAATATCTGCCTCTAAAATAGTGTGAAGTCTAATCAGCAAATGGAAAAGGCTACTTGAGTAAATGCAGTTAGTCTACTGTGTTACTTTCCAACTCGGTTTGCCTGGTGAAACAAATCTGATGCTGACAAGATGAACATAGAGGATTGCTTTTTAGTAACACAGTTTTAGATCCTAATCACCAAACTGCCTTACATGCATTCATTCACCTTTGCATGTGCCATTGTGCCCTGTGAGCATGAAGGCAGACATGGCAGCCCAACACTGAAGCAGCTCACCTCGCTGCCCACTCTCTATCTTTCTCCGCATGAAGCTGCGCTAATGAGAACAACGAGCTGCTAGTGGGACACGCCTGGCTGGCTTGAGAGAAGCATGAAGTTTGGGAGCACCATACTGCTCCTCTGCCACGCTATGTGTCGTGTGACGTCACGTGGGACCTCCCATACGCGGAAAAAGCTCCTTTCTCCCCGTTTCGTCCTGGTGCCCGCCCGGGAAGAGAGGGAGAGTGTGCGTGGCTGCGGTCTCCACTGTGCTCCTTGCGATGCGTCACGTTTGACAGAATGCAATGAATGGCTGTCTTTGAGCACTGTAACATTTGTTTTTATTTAGACACAAGGACTACGGCTTAATGTTGTTGCAGTTCTTTTTTTTAAATTATTATTATTATTTTAGTTCTGACGTTTTACTTCGGAGCTTATTAGGCAATGATTCCAGGTAATGTCGTGCCACGGACTTTCCTGCAAAACCTATCCTTCCTCTTTGGAGTTTTAGAAAGACCTACGTCTACTTCATGCATGCTTTATAATGCCTTTATTCATCTCCTGTGCACATCTCCTGTGCAGCCTGTATGTTGCTGCTGTTTGGAAATTAGGTGCGTCTCCTGTTAAAGAAGGTTTTAAATTGTCGCTGGACTAGGCTGTCTCAAAGCAGGCCAAACTGTCGCTTGACAGAGTGCAAATGGACTGAGAAAAACATAACTTTATGGTAACCTTGGGAGTTATCTGCCAAACAGCATGGATGGAAGAAAAGGTGTAGTTTAAAAATTATAAATAGGTCAAAAAACGGAAGATGTGCAATTAGGAAAGCTGTATAATTGTGTATGCTCTTATTCGTGTGGTTATATAAATCAGCCATAAGAGTGAAAATTGTTCTTCTTCGCTTTAGTGCAAGAAGTCGGCCCAGCACCCTCACAGTAATCCTGTAAGTCTAACAGATTTCCTCACGAGATGTAAATAGTTGTATTTGCATGCGGATAGTGATTCATAAAGATGTCAGTGTTATGAAATATATGGGGTTATTAAAACTTTCTATTTAAATATCATGA